GTTGATTCTCGTCAGGCAGCTGGGGAGGGCCCAATGCCTCCAGGACAGGAGCCCAGTCAAGCGTGAAGGCCTTAGCAAGCAGGAGGGCAGGGTAGGCCCCCGATCGTTGGCGAGTTCTCCTGCCCGTCAGATTGTACAGGAAAGGCATGTGCCGGTAGCCCGCTTCTTCATGGAGAGACGGTATGTTGTCTCTTTACCAATTTTTGTCTTAAAATCACGATTTTCAGCAGTTTTGTCACTGGAGCTCATGAGAATGGTGTCTGAGCTGTTCAAGTGTCAGTAAAACATCTTTTTTTAAACTGCTAAGTTTGGTTATGTCAAGAGTTTGAACATTCTGAGAGTGGAGAACATATTCAAGACGTGGGTATGTGAATATATCATTGTTCTGGAGTCTGAATATGTCTAGCAGTTTTGGGAAGGGTATGATTCCTGCTATGTCCAGGAAATGTCTTACATAGTTTATTTTTCTTTAGGTACAGTTTGTTTAGAATCAGTAATTGTAACATAGATAGCAGAGAACAAATTAAGAGCATAGCAACCTTCAGCAGCTGGGGAAATCATGTCTGCAATGAGTGTCTGGAAGCTGAAAGAGTATTTAGTGAGGGTAGCTCACATTAGTTAGTGTAGAGTAAACAGCTGCAAGAATTTGTTTTCTAAAAGTGGATGATCTGCTGTCACAACTAAAATGAGTTGGGCTAATGTAGCTGCCATGTAATATGCTTTAATTTTGGGAATGCCATGGCACCATGCACAAGATCATTGGGGCTTCTTTTTTATCTAGATACATGAAAATATAATAATTACATAATATATATGGCGCACAATAAATATAGAATCACCAGCAGAGTGGACATTTTGACATAATATATCATCCTTATCCAGGAAATCTCTATATTGGACCAGTATTATAATGTCTCTGTTTTGTGATATGTCCTACGTGTCTCATTTTGGTACCTTAATCTACCTGCCCATATTTCCTCTGTGGGGTTTCTCTTGTTTTGGAATTAAAATGTGTGGTTTTTCTGTATTAAATGCAAAGCTCCAAGGCAATGCAACTCACAGTAATCAAAGTGTGTATGTATTACAGAGCTCCAACCCACAACAACATGCTAAGTGTGTGACTGTGGCACAGAGCTCCATCCACATCAACACAACTCATAGTCAAGTACAATGTGTATGAGTATCACAAAGCATCACAGCTATAGAACTCACAGTAATGTGCTATGTGTACAGGTTTATCACAGAGCACCACAGCAATTAAACCCAAAGTAATGTGTGCATAAACTGCAGTTAATGCGTGAATTTTGCACTAGAAAATTTACCCAATTACATAAATAGCTACCTAAAATTATTATTGATACATTGTCCATACTCAATTAGTAGCTAGCTAGAAAGAAACTGTGGGGTGTACGAGGCAGAGCAAGGGATGCAGGAGGCTGTGGCTGGTAAGAAATACTGAAAGAGCCACATTGACAATGAGGAAATAAGATGCATTGAATGGGTATAAACATATTTAGGGAAATTGGATGAATTTAGAAGAGATGTACGGAGAAGAAATATTGGATTACATAATACATTTTATCTGATATCTGTGTCTCCCGCTGCCTCCTGTTTTCCAGTGGCCATTCTTCTCACATCCCCCATCCTGCACTCTGTTTATCCTGGCTGCAATTTGCCACAAACTATTTGTAGAGGAAGATTATGTCCTCACAATAATTAAATTAATTATGGATTATAACTTCCGTCCTTCTCCGGGATATGAGAGCAAAACAGTTGCAATTTATAGATCAGAATTTTTCTATTTTATTATTTCATGCTCAAACTCCTCATACCCCTACCTGACTAATCACACAGTCTGCACTTATTAACTCTTTGCAGCATATTGCTAGTAAAAAGAAACACACTATGCTGCTTTAACAGTCATAAAAGGAAATATAATAATAAGGTTTGCTGAACTCCCATGATCCTCTAGCAGATATTGTAAAATAGTGAGAGTAGGTCCTTTCAAGACACAGAGCCTCAGGGTTAATCTTCAACCAGTATCTGGTTAACTATTGATTTCACAGCTTGGTATCTCTTAGTAATATAATGCAAACAAAAGGGAACAGGGGTACCTATTGAATGTAAAAAATAGAAAATGCAATAAATCATCTAGGTGTACAGCGCTGAAAGACATCTGAATTGTTTAACGGTAAGCAGAATATGCCAAGCATATATTTCAACAAATTTATTAGAGCAAGTACAGGCTATTTAGTATTGGTGGTGTATCAGGGCTGTGATCACTACGTGATTGACAGGGTTGCTCCTGCCAAACCCATTACCCTTCAGCTGTGACCCTCTATTTTATTATTTAGCACCCATTCCAAGACCCAGGGGGATTGCAAGAATAAGCTTGTAGGCAGCCACTGGCCCTGCCACTCACACCTCTGTTCATGGCATATGGGAAAATAAAGGACCATACCTCCTAGACGATACTGGTTAATAGGGGAAGCCCCAGACTCATTTCTATTTCACTATTTATATCAGTTTGCTCACTAATTGACAATAATAAATAGTCTCTGAAATGTTGCCACCAATTTTTTTTTTATTTCTTAAACTTTGAAGGTTATGAAACAAATCTTGACAGAGATTCTACGTCATATTTATTAAGTGATGTATCAAACTCACCAAAACTGGAATAAAAAGTATCTCCATTGCGGCATGTTGGCTGCTATTTGTTTATCGGTCAAATGCTTTTTTTTTTTGCAAACTTGGCAGTAAAATATCTCTCTCTCTCTCTCTCTCTCTATCTATATCTATATATATATATATATATCTCAATAAAAACAGATTGACAAAGAAATATAGTACCATCATAAGTAAAGAGAGTCCAACATAAATATTCCACTATTGGGGTTATTAACTAAAGTGAGAATTTAAAGCAAAATTTAAAGGGGCCTATAGTGTCAGGAACACAAACATGTATTCCTGACACTATAGTTCTAATATCACTATTTAGTAGGGATCGACCGATTATTGGTCTGGCCGATATTATCGGCCGATATTCTGTAGAGATACCAATATTGCTGAAAATACATACCAGGACCGCTGGGCCCATGACAAGCAAGCGCTTACTTACCTTCCCAGCAGCTCCCCAGTGTAAATCTTGCAAGTTCCACGGCCGGCAGAGCGGTGCCGCGGGTTACCATGGCAACGCTCCGCGCGGCAGGCTGGCCATGAGATTTGCACAGGGGAGCTGAAGGGAGCTGTTGGGAAGGTAAGTAAGCGCTTGCTGCGGGCCCCCTCTGTACTTTGCATGTCACTGGACCACCAGGGAATGCTATATTCCCCTCCCTGGCCAGGTAACAAGCAGGGAGGGGGGACTAAAAAAAATAATTAATAATTAAATATTTAAATAAAAAAATGCCCCCCTCCTCATAATTACATACCTACAGAAACACACACACACTGCATTATATACACACACTACACAAACAATGCATTATATAAACACACTACACAAACACATTGTATATAATGCCGTGTGTGTGTTTGTGTAGTGTTTGTATATAATGCAGTGTGTTTATATAATGCAGTGTGTGTTTGTTTGTGTAGTGTTTGTATAGTGAATGTAGTGTGTGTATATAATGCAGTGTGTTTGTGTAGTGTGCATTATACAAATACACACTGCATTATATAAACACACTGCACAAACACACACTGCATTATAAAAACACACTACACAAACACAATGTGTATATGATGCAGTGTGTGTGTTTGTGTAGTGTCTGTATAGCGAATGCAGTGTGTTTATATAATGCAGCGTGTGTTTGTGTAGTGTGTGTATTTACGCACACTACACACACACTGCATTCACTTTATGCACACTACACACACACTGCATTCACTTTACACACACCACACACTACATTCACTATACATACACTACACACTACATTCGCTATACATACACTACACAAACACACAATCTGAATTCATTATATACACACTACACAAATACACACTGCATCCACTACACACACACTACACAAACACACATAGCTCCCCTGTCTAAACACACTGCATACACTACTCGTGGCATGCATATTTTGTGTATTTACCTTTAGAAATAGTTTATTTTTTCAAAATGGTAAATGTACAGAATATTGGTAAGTTATCGGCTATTGGCCTGAAAGTTCACAGATTATCGGTATGAAAATCAGTATCGGTTGATCTCTATTATTTAGGCCCTCAGCCCACCTGTCAAGAAAGTAAAAGAGTTAAAACTCATCTTTTTCCAGCACGGCGCAGGGCTTCTCATGTCTGGCCACACGAACGATTAGCCTCTTTGGTTGACATCATCAGAATTGACGATCAGGGCTACCCAACAGGTAGATCCCCAGATGTTGTAGAACTACAACTCCAATAATGTTCTACATGCCTTTGGAATGCATTTAGAATGACAAAGCATCATGGGAGTTGTAGTTCTACAACATCTGGGGATCTACCTGTTGGGCAGCCCTGGTTTAAATAATCAATTACTGGGAAACAAAATAAAGTAGTAAATCTCTAAAGGAATTATTCTATCTTCTCCTTATTGTATAACCCCCCTCAAAACCCCCCCAAAAAAAGAATCTTGAACTACGAATTACCTTGCAAATGTTAAGGAGGGCTTACAATGTAGAAAACTTGCAATTTCAAACTGACAGACAGGAAATCTCATCAGATGAAGTTTCATGTCAAGATATAAAGACTGGCAGGCCATCAGACCTAGATAAGTAGCATCTGTAATTTGTACCCAAATACCACGCCACACACTGCATCAAGTAAGGAGACATAGCTACAAATATATCTTCAGTCGGTGAATGTAATTTGTGAAGAGGTGTGGCAAGAAAATACATTCAGTACATCCAAGACAGAATTACATTGACAGACCCATAGGTAAACACACTTTGTACGCAAATCCAACATATACAGGATAACAGACATAAGAGAATATGTTTAGCAAACACTGATTATTTTGTATAACTTGATATGCTAATTTTTTAAGGTAAAAACTCAAGCAATGCCTTCCAATCATTTCAAATAGACAAAATAATTTTTTTTGTGGGTAATCGAAAACATCACTTAGAACAAAAAAAAAAACTTTACAACAACAGAACAACAAAACAGAATTCATCTCTAAAGACATTTACAGTATTATTGCTTTGGTACACAGGGCATATGTTCTAATTAACTAGAAAATAGGATATGAAAAGTAGCAGAAAAACATATACACAAGATGTAAATTAGTACAATGCTGTTTGATAGGATATACACTGCTCAGGGGGCCAGAATGTGGTGGGTGCACCATTAATAGTACAGGAGATTATGTTGGATAAACTGGTAGAATACATTTATCAGGTCACAAAATAGAGCTGTGTACGTTGTTAAACAAACCTGATATAATTCAGAAACAAATTGTGGGTTGATAGGTTCCAATAGAAATCTTTAAGTACATTTCAGCACAAAGTCCCATTATGCACTGTTACTCCTTAGCCCTACATTGGGCAGGCTTAGCTTCAAACATGTTGGTTCTATAGATAAAGAACAGCCATTGCATGTAAGGAACTGTTGAACTTGTAAAATAAAAATTATGACAATTGAACTGCTGTTCCTTACATGCATTACATGTCAATGTTGAAAAGGAAGATATTTTAGAGATAGGTAGTAACCCAAAATAGTGGATAAATGAATACAAAATGTTTCACTTAGTCACTATTTTTACATTACTACAAGTCTCTAAGATCTATTTGAATCAAATGAAATAATGTTACACTGCACTACCAAGTCAATCCTGATTACCACAAAGTTTGGTTTTACAAAATGTAAAATTACTAGAACTATGGAGTCCATAAATATAACCTTATATATCCATGCCGTTGTTCTCTCGTCTTGACTACTGCAATCCCCTTCTCAGTGGTCTTACGTGTTTCCAAACTGCACTGCTGCAATCTATTATGAATGCGGCGGCAAGGCTCATTTTTATGTCCGCCCGCACCTCCCACGCCTCCCCACTCTGTCAGTCCCTACATTGGCTTCCAGTTAGATATAGGGCTCAATTTAAGATTCTTGTGCTTGCTTACAAGTCCCTACATAATGCTGCTCCAACCCTCCCTTTCTCCCAAATATACAAGTATGTCCCATCGAGGCCCCTACGCTCCGCTGAAGGCCTACAAATATCCTCTGTCTGTACTCGCACATCTGATGCTCGCCTCCAAGACTTCTTCAGGGTGGAACTCCCTTCCCTTCTCCGTTTGACTTTCACCCAGTCTCCACTCCTTCAAAAAATCTTTGAAAACACACTTCTTCAGGAAAGCATATCATTTAAACTGCGGATTTTCATTCCCCTCCCCCCATGACTCTTCTCCTGCAACTGTCAAAAATCAACCTCTCTGTTCATGTGCTTCCATTTGTCTGGTTACAATTATGTGTCTGTTAGTCCACCCATTGTACAGTGCAACAGAATTTTGCTGGTGCTATATAAATAATAAAATAATAATAATATAGATAGCATGCCATGCAATATGCCTGTTAGAACCCTGAGATGACATTCCATTTGGTATTCAAGACAGGGACATGACTGGTTCCAGTTGGACATGCTTTAATGGACAGAAAAGCATAGACATACAGATTTACAGTTAGGTGCAGGGACATACATAAAGAGTGTCTGACCATCTGTTTACTCGCCTTGTCAATGAAGAGTCCGATACATCAATTGACAATATAATTTGGTGCCCAGTAAAGACTGCATTTAACACATTACTAAGCCCCAGGGCCTGTACTAACACTGCATATTCCTCTAGGGATCAATGCCAACAGCCGTTTTCCCTAATCCATGAAAATCCACATTATTTCTACTGCTTCAAATGACAGTTTTACGATACAAAGTATCAGTCACTGCTGGTTTACGTGAGTTTGATGAACGAGGTGTGCAAGTGCAGGGGGAGGCTAATTTATTCTATATCCTCCTTTTCAATGTTCTTTGAGATTAAGCACATGTCACCTCTAATATAATGGAGGATAGGGTGACAGGAAGTTATGATGGACAGGCAAATGGATGGACAGGTTATAGTCTCTGCTCCCTTCGTAATTGGCAGAGAAAAGCAAAGCAGACCAAAAATAACAGCAATTTTACATCCACCACAAATACACTCTAGCACCTCGACTACACTGTGTATATTTATAGTTCTTTATTAATAAGAGACCAACAAACCCAGCAGTGCTGTACATATCAAAACCTTGCATCATATATGATCACCTTCTAATAAAGAGGATTTATTGCCGCGTCGAGACAAACATTTAAATCCTTTGCCATGTATGTGGTGGAATGATTGTGTGAATCTACTACTCTTTTCAGGTGTCTGTAAGTGTGCTGAGATTAAGACAGAAAATCAGTGGGGCACAGTGTGTAATGCTCTGTGAAACCACTGGGTGGCTATTATGGAATCAGTTTATAGTAATCATTAAAGGAATGGGTAATTAGGAGATGAAGTATAGGAGTTCTATAAAAAGTATGTAATGGATTGTTGTACCCAGGGTGGGTAAACAGGGTTTTAGGTTTACAGGAGCTAATATGTATGTAGTAATGCATAGTATACCTGCATAGGTATTTATGGATTGGTCTGTGGGAGTTCTGTGATGGGTCTCCAATGGTAAATAGTACACTGCGATGAGCTGTTATACAGACACTCCTGTTAAGAAATTAGACTTTTTTTTTTAAATTGGTCCTTTCCTTAAACTCTTTAGATTACTGCACCCCCAATATTTCTGTATGACCAGCACTCACTTCCATTTCAAGCTACAGACAAAAGTAAGTGAGGCACGAAATGTGGCTGTGTGTTTGATTAGCAGACCTGGGTGGGTAATGAAGGATTGGCCTATAAGAGATTTGTTTTATTTATGTAATGGTTGTGTAGTACCCTTGGGTGTGTAATTAGTGACTGAGCTATAAGAACCCTGTGTTGAATACATAGAATGATTGTGCAGTAACTCAGGGTGGTTATTATGGATTACATTTTAGTAGTCCTGTGATGAGTAGGCAATGATGTAAAGGTGTCAGGCTAATAGTCACACAGTTTAAAGCCAACAAAACTAATAAACTACACCTTAGCTGAAATACTGGTGTAGGTCATCACTGAGGATCGAAGAAAAAAAAAGTACTTGCACATTTAGTAGAGAGTGATAGTTTATTTCACCTGTTCCAATAGTCTCAACCCATCCTGAAAGTGAGCTTCTTACAGAAAATCTGCATGTCTTTATCAGGCCATCAATCTCTTTAAAACGCTCTGGTCTCAATTATAATAATTAAAGTAGGGTTACCTGCTGCAAACTCCCGAATATTATCTGGTCGCCTCAGCAGGACATCCCTTGAAGAAAGCATACAAAGATTAAATCAGTCATATGTTGTAGTAGAAGGAAGTGCCATGTAAATTCATTGTTAAAAAGCTTTCATGCAAGATGTCAACATTTTACCAGATAAAAACATCTCACATAAGAAAGGCAGGTGGTCTACCTCTCACCCCACAGACACTAGTGTTCCTGATTCTACCTTGCCCCTTCCCCAAGACACAACAAATTCTTCTTACTCATCTTCTCATAGCCGCCAACCTTCTTATTCCCGTCAAATGTATGACAAACTCCACTTCCCATGTGAGTTTGCCACGAGTTCCTAGAGGAGCTTGCTTGCCTGCCCAGACTATGGGCCCTGCAGGGAAAGCTGTAAAAGACTACCGAAATTGACCGACCGTTAGCACTGATTTCATGGAACTGTTTTGGGCATGGCACCATGCGTGAGGTCGGTCAAAACTATGACTTCCAGGAAATTCCTGAACCCCTGAACAGGTCTGGTTGATTTTTGGACATGCTGGTCACCCAGATCGGGGCTATCAGGGCTTGTAACTTTTGTGGGGTTTCCATGGGTTTTGGGGGTACTTTTAAAAGTATGTTTTTCTGTGCTTGGAGATAATTGGATTAGGTTAGGTTAGTACAGTTCCTGATTCAATTATCTCCCAGGTACAAAGGAGGGATTATCTTATTTGAGTACGGGAGTGTCCTGGACCTGAAAGCCAATGTCATTGTGTGGTTGTTTTTACTGTATTCTACTATCAGGTCCAGTGGGGAGTGCCCCTTGCATGGGGACCTGCACGTAAGGCCAGTTGTGGCTGCCAATAAATGAGTTTCTGCCTACCCTCAACATCGAGTCTCATCTGATGTGTGGGGGGAACAGATGTATCTGCTCTGGGGAAAGACTGCTACACTCTCTGGAGTAGGAGAGGTCTGCCCACTGGAAGTTGGATCCTGGTCTTGGGTCCAGGGTGGGTGGAGGACATCGAGACCCCAACCAAGCTGCGGCGATTTGTGGGGTTTGTGGTGTTCCAGTGCGGTGCTTATGGTACTCAAGGATTACTAGGAAGCCACGATTGACGGAGGTAACTGGTCTGGGTGCCAGGCGGTCTGTCACAAAATGGAAAAACCCTGCTCCATCAGTAAGGGAATGAATTGCTAAAGTAGTGGCACTCAAAACTATGGAGGAGATCCATGCCTCCATCTCCCATAAATACACACTCTTCTGAGAAGTTTGGGAGCCCTGGGTAAAATTTATGGCAAAACCATAATCCAAACTCCAAGACAATATATCCTTGATTGGTTGGGTCCATCGGCTGACGGGTCATGAGTTAGGTGGACATATGTCCTCCCTCTCTGGTCACCCCCTCCTGCCTTACAAATCTTCCAGTCCCAGAGGTGGCTCTGGCTCCTTGCTTCCAAAGTACACCCAGCCCACACAGTACCAATACTCAAACCCAACCCAGGGGCCGGGCCGGGCCTCCTCTCCCCTCCCTAGCTGATTCTCTGATATTCCTTCAACCATGAAAACCTCTATACACATACACATACATTGTAAGCTTAGTTATCACGGCCCTAAGACAAAGCCTCTTACACTGCATTCCTTTATCAGATATGATCAACATCGGTCTCCTAAACTCCATAACTATGTTCATGATGAGCACTGATGAGTCCTGACTGAACTACCTGTGTTACTTTGAGGAGACCATCTAAACAGCAAAATCTGGGCCCATTTTATGGAAGATGCTGTAAAGTTCAACACATTTGAATATGTTTTAAACTTGCAAGCACAAGGTACAAACTGTATTTTTTTTTTAATTCTCAATTTGCTCACTTTTTTTGTGGCTAAGGTATTGTGGAATGTCAAAAGTTTCCTATTTTAGTTAATTTATTTGTTATAACTGTTTTCCACTAAATTTTCTAATTCTGATCAATTCTGTATCGGGATGTCGTTATAGACAATCCATGGGGAAAATACAGATAGCAAATTTGGCATCATGAATGTCAACTATACTCCATCTAATCTATACTGTTTTCCTGGACACACAGCACTTCTTCACGCTGACAGGTAGTGCATGAAAATGTATTGGTAGGATGTTTCATATGATGGAAGAAAAAAATCGAGTAATCAAGGACACCTTTGGTATCTACTCAGTGCATGCGGATTTCCCTCCTGCAGTATATGAATTCCACATATTACAAGGGAGATGTATTTATGCAATTCCCAGGAAAAATATGAAGTAGAGAGAGATTTTTATTTTAAAACACATGGGGGTTTAGCATGGTGTGTCTAAACAGGGTAGACTCATTACCGTGTAAAATACGAGAGCAGCAGATACACCTCCTTGTGCTCCCTCAGGTATTTCTCGTCAGAAATCCGAGTTTGAATCTGCAAACAGACGACAAGACAAGCTTTAAATGGAAGCGAATGGAGCAGCCAGGAATGGATTTACAATGACAGAGGAAATTGGTCTAGACACTGGCATGCACATACAACAGCAGCAGAGAATAGAGTCATGTGTATATTAGTAGATTCAGGAACCATCCAAATCAAATATATACAAAATACTAATTATATCTGTGCAGATATCATGTTTATTACACACAGAGGAGCAGTAATTATATTGCTTATTATACAAACAGATGCGATAGAAGTAATGATATATTGCAGATCATTTCAACTGTAGCAAATATTTCAAATGGCAAAATGTAGGTCAAAATAAATGATCTTGGAAAAATTCACCAACACAGCGATAGTCACTGCTGGAAGGACCAGTTTCAGAGTTATACCAGGGCAAACCGCATGGACCTTGTTACCACCATAACAATTTAAATGAGCTGAAGTTATTATGGGGGTGTGAGAGCTTCTTTAAACGGTTATTCCAACCAAAAAACAGTGCCGCCAGAGGGGGAGGGACGTCATGGAGAAAGGATCGAACTATTACTGACATGTAGGATCAGTGATTGGCACAGAAATGTCTAATAGTAAGTCAAAATCGTTGAATTGGAAACATTCTTAAAATTAGTTCAAGTGCGACTATTTTGTTCTACAATTTTCAATTAGCTTGTTAATTCTCCCCATTCCTTAACCTCTTAAGGACACATGACGGAAATATTCCGTCATGATTCCCTTTTATTCCAGAAGTTGTGTCCTTAAGTGGTTAATTTAGAGAATACACTTCCGGGCATTTATTCACAGTTACACAGCGACATACGTGTATAGCTACAGTGCAAATGACAGACGACGGCAGCAGGTACATAGACAACAGCACACAGTTGCAGAACACAATGTATTATGCAGTTTTATATTAAACTGTACACGCAGTAAATACATTGTTTATATATATATATAACTGATATAACACATATTACACAGAGGTTGTAAAATAACATTTAAGAGCAGTAGAAACATTGTATATTACACACACAGGAACAGTAATTAACATTTACATTGCACATACAAGTACTGTAAATAACCAGTATATAACATTATTATTATGCAGTATGTGCACAGTGCATTATAGTTTCACATTACACTCGGACAGTACAGCATGTTACACCTTCCAGTCTCGAAGTCTGTCCTGTTGATGTGGCCCTAAGGCCCCGGTGTCGGGCTCCGCCATGTTGCGGCTCCTGCTTGACTCTGTTGCTAGGGCTAGCGGTTGCCAGGCAACTTGTTTTTCCGTTACTAAAGACTTGATCACGTGATGGTGTGGGGCACACCCGGCCTTCAGTTGCCTCGGTAACGGTTTCCTGGGAGACCGCACCATTCTGAGCCCGGGCCGTGACGTCACTGGAGGGTACCTAGGACTCGCACAGCCACGCCTACTCCTGATCCCTTTGCGTCACGGTGACGTCACCCACTGATTGGGAAATTTTCATGGTAGATGGGCGTGAAGTAAACATAATATTAATGATCAAAGGGTTAAAATGGAATTATACTCTGAGCTGGGAGCTTCCCCTCCCATGTTAAGTGATAATTAATCAGCAGAGCCCAGAGCTGCTGCTTTCTAAGATGTGTTTAGAATCACCTAACTAGGCATAGGGTAACTTAGCAGAGAGGACACAATGATTCAGACAGCACAGGACTCTTATTTCATGGGCTCAGCTAAGCCTCCTGCATGAATTACAACAGATATTTTAACAGGTTTGGGAAGCTCTGTAGCTTAACCCCTTAAGGACACAACATAGGTGACATGTCATGATTCCCTTTTATTCCAGAAGTTTGATCCTTAAGGGGTTAGGGACATGTAGTTTCCTAGGGACTCTGTACACATGACAATTAATAAATGGGGAGCTCTGTACACATTAAAAAACTTCTTATATCTACAGCAAGCTCTGTACACGTGAAAAATGATAGATTTTGAGCTCTGTACAAATGAAAAATACCTGTGAAATCTGGGGAGCTCTGTACACATGAAAAATAACTGAGATATGGGGAGCTCTGTACAGATAAAAAAAAATCACAGATATGGGGAGCTCTGTACACATTATTATTATTATGATATTTATAGAGCGCCGTCAAGTTCCGCAGCGCTTTACAATGGGTGGACGAACAGACATGTAGTTGTAACCAGACAAGTTGGACACACAGGAACAGAGGGGTTGAGGGCCCTGCTCAATGAGCTTACATGCTAGAGGGAGTGGGGTAACATGACACAAAAAGGTAAGGATAGTATTAGACTAATGACAGTTGCAGAAGAGGAATCAGTAAGGAGCTATTAACAGTTTAACTGATACGCTTTTATGAAGAAGTGGGTTTTTAACTATTTTTTGAAGGAATGGAGACTGGGTGAGCATCTAACAGAGGAGGGAAGCGATTTCCACAGGAACGGTGCAGCCCTCGAGAAATCTTGAAGGCGAGCATCAGAGGTGGGAGTACGGACAGAAGATAGACGTAAGTCTTCAGCAGATCGTAAGGGCCTAGACGGGACATACTTGTGTATAAGGAGGATAGATAGGTGGGAGCAGCATTATGTAGCGATTTGAAAGCAAGAACCAGAATTTTAAATTGAGCTCTATATTTTATAGGAAGCCAGTGTAGGGATTGACAGAAGGGTGAGGCATGGGAGGTGCGGGCGGACAGGAAGATGAGCCTTGCCACCGCATTCATTATGGACTGTAACGGCGCTAGTTAGGAGCACGTAAAACCACTGAGAAGCGGATTACAGTAGTCAAGGCGAGAAAAGACAGTGGAATGGACCAACACCTTAGTCGCATCTGGCGTTAAGTAGGGGCGGATGCGCGCAATGTTTTTTAGATGGAAATGACAGGATTTGGCGATAGATTGAATATGAGGCTTGAAGGAGAGGTCGGAGTCAAAGAGAACACCTAGGCAGCGAGCCTGCGTGGTGGAGCTGATGGTAGCACCGTTGACTTGGAGGGAGACAGACACAGGAGTAACAACACTTGAGGGAGGAAAGACTAGAATTTCAGTTTTGGTCAAGTTTAGTTTAACGAAGCAGGGCGTACAATGCAGCCCCTCTAATGAAGGCTCTAGCATGCGCCCAGGCGTAATGTAAACCCTCAGGATATTAACTACCCCGGTGCTTGGCGGTCCCCACGCCCGTCGTAGTAAGAGAGGACTCCAGGGAGCCCCGCGGCAGACATACTCGGTGCTCCCGGCCATGTGAAGTGGGGTCCTAGCGAGACCCACAATCACGAATATACCTGCATTGCACCAGCAGGGGCTACCAGCAATGACAGAGTGGTCCCCCTGCTGGCTGAAAACAAGTATTACATTTATTGGTGTAAAAAGTATAATATATACTTAGTCATATATATATATATATATGATCTAAGTATATATATACACATATACATACACACACGTACACCGTCTAGGTGTATTTTACTATTAATATATATATATAATTATATATTAATATCAACTTACACGTAGACTGATACTGATTAAATATATATATAATTATTGTTATATATATATTTATATATAATATAAAAAAAATAAAAATGTAAATACGTTAAATAAAATTTAAAAAATAATTAAAAATAAATAATTAAAAAATATATAGATGTGTGTTATTTCGTTCTGTTTTGTGAAATTAATATATATATATATATATCAAAATACACGTAGAACGAAATAATATATATATCTATATACATAAATATATACGTATATATCACTATATATATACCTATATATAAATAAAAATATTTAAAAAAAATTATATAGATATATACATATATATACACATACGTATACATATACATATATTAATTCTACATATATATTTATGTAATATTTTTACATAATTAGGTATCTTAATTAATTACAATTAGCGGGACCTGCCTGACAACCTATGCCGAAAGTAAAGGGAATTTAATTTGCTAGCACTATATTTAACCCTATAACTTTCCGAGACACCATAAAACCTGTACATGGGGGGTACTGTTCTACTCGGGAGACTTCGCTGAACACAAATATTAGTGTTTCAAAACAGTAAAATGTATTACAACGATGATATCGCCAGTAAAAGTGAATTTTTTTGCATTTTTCATGCACAAACAGCATTACACGGACAATATTATTGCTGTGATACTTTTTACTGTTTTGAAACACAAATATTTGTGTTCAGCGAAGTCTCCCGAGTACAACAGTACCCCTCATGTACAGGTTTTATGGTGTTTTCAAAAGTTACAGCGTCAAATATAAGGCTTGCGTTTCATTTTTTTCACATTAAAATTCGCCAGATTGGTTACGTTGCCTTTGAGACCCTAAGGTAGCCCAAGAATGAAAATTACCCCTATGATGGCATACCATTTGCAATAGTAGACAACCCAAGGTATTGCAAACAGGGTATGTCCAGTCTTTTTTAGTAGCCACTTAGTCACAAACACTGGCCAAAATTGGCGTTTTTTGCATTTTTCACAAACAAACAAATACTAACGCTAACTTTGGCCAGTGTTTGTGACCAAATGGCTACTAAAAAAGACTGGACATACCCCATTTGCAATACCTTGGGTTGTCTACTATTGCAAATGGTATGCCACTATTGGTGTAAATTTCATTCCCGGGCTACTATAGAGTCTCAAAGGCACGTAACCAATCTGGCAAATTTCAATTTCAAATGTAACGTGCTATATTTGACCCTGTAACTTCCCAAAACGCCATAAAACCTGTACATAGGTGGTACTGTCTTACACGTGAGACTTTACTGAATATAAATATGTGTATTTTATTGCAGTAAAAGCAAACAGTATTATGACACTGACCGTTAAAATGTCATGTAGAACTAAAAAAACAAAAAAAAACGTATTTTCTCCCATTTTTTTCATATTAAATTATGTTTCATAGCTAAATATTTGATATTAAATGAAAGCCCTGTTTCCCCTGAATAAAATGATATATAATAAGGGTGGGTGCATTTACTATGAAAGAGGTGTATTACGGTTGGACAGACATGTAGCGCAAATGCCAGGTTTTGTTTACGTTTTGTTCACAATGTGTACATTTGGCTCCGTCCTTAAGGGGTTAAGGAAGTGGGCAGCCATCCAGTTAGAAACAACAGAGAGGCAGTCAGAGACACTAGTCAAGAGGGACGGGGAGAGATCAGGAGAGGACAGGTAGATTTCCGTGTCATCTGCATAGAAATGATATTGGAAGCCAAAGGAGCTAATGAATTTACCAAGGGAGGCAGTATAGATGGAGAACAGTAGGGGACAAAGGACTGAACCTTGGGGGACACCAACAGAGAGGAGTTGGGGAGAAGAAGCAGAGCCAGAGAAAGAAACACTGAAAGAGCGCTAGGAGAGGTAGGAGGAGCACCAGGAGAGAGCAGTATCTTGTAGACCGATATTGCGGAGGATGAGAAGAAGTTGTTGATGATCAACAGTGTCAAAAGCCGCAGACAGGTCAAGGAGAATTAGGATAGAGTAGTGACCATGAGATTTTGCAGCGAGTAGATCATTGGATACTTTGGTCAGTGGCGTTTCCACAGAGTGCTTAGCGCGGAAACCAGACTGAAGCGGGTCTGGCAGAGAGTTGGACTCGAGGAAGTCTGTCAATCTCGCATACACAATTTTCTCAAGGATCTTGGATGCAAAAGGCAGTAGCGAGATAGGACGATAGTTAGATGGGGAGTTAGGGTCAAGATTGGGCTTCTTTAGAATTGGGGTTACAATTGCATGTTTGAAGGGCAATGGAAATATACCAGAGGAGAGAGAGAGATTGAGGATTTTAGTGAGAGATGGAGAAAGAGAAGACAGAGTACGGATGAGATGCGAGGGAATTGGATCTAGGGAGCAGGTGGTGGGGCGGGAGGACTGGAGCAGAGCAGAAACTTCTTCCAATGTAGCGGGTGCGACTGAACATAGAACAGCAGAGGGAGTGAAGTTAGGGGAAGTATTGTAAGAGGAAGAAGAAAGATGAGATATCTCTTCTCTGATTGTAGAGATCTTGTCAGTGAAGTGAGTTGCAAACTCTGAGGCGGACAAGTTAGTAGGTGGAGGAAGAACAGCAGGGCGAAGAAGAAAGTTAAATGTGTGAAATAGTCGTTTGGGTTCGCGGGAAGTAATTAACTTTTGCAGAGGAAAGAGCCATGCTGTATGAGCTCAGCATAAATTTATAGTGGAGAAAGTCAGATGCACAGTGAGACTTTCTCCAACAGCGTTCAGCAGTTCTGGAGCATTTTTGGGGGTAACGAGTGAGCTTGGTGTGCCAGGGTTGTTGTTGGGGGGGCCTGCGGCTGTCACGATTCTGGAACCTAACACGCTAACAGAACACAGAGAGGAAAGATGCTATACCGGTCCTTAGAGTGGCCGGGCTAAGCACACTAAGAATGGTCAGGAGACAAACCAAGTAAAGGGAGCCAGAAAATGGGAGAACGAGAAACAAGCCGAGGTCAAAGGAGTGGAGAAGACAGGATAATCGGAATAACAAGCCAAATAATCGGTAACCAGAGAGAAACAGGAGCAAACTGCAATACAGGTATCACAAGACCACAACAGGGCACTGAGAGACAGGAAAGGTAAGTATAAATACCCTTTGCTTAATTCTGATTGGATAACTTCCAATCAGAATTAACAATCACCCGTGGGAGATATCTACGCCTCCCACTGCGATTGTGGTACTGTTGCTTTAACGCCGGGTCACTCATGTGACCTCAGCGTTTGCATAAATTTGCGACCTCCCAGCGTGCAGCGTTATACATGCTGCCGCTGGGAGGCGTGGAGGACGCGAGCGGCGGAGAGGAGACGCCGCTCGCCGACAGGTAGGAGGAGGGGAGAACGCGGGCGGCGACGGACTGAGGGTGAGTGCTGCAAGTGGCGTGCAGCCTCCCCTCGAGGACCGCCCAACGGGCGGGAAGCCAAAGGCTTCAAAGGAAACCGCGCATGAAAGGAGCGGATCAAAGAGGGTGCATTCAAGTCAGAGGCAGAAACCCAAGACCGCTCCTCAGGACCGTAACCCTTCCAATCAACCAGATACTGCAACCGACCCAGAGAAAAACGAGAATCAAGCAGAGCAGCCACTTCGTACACGTCACTAGAGACAGCGCGGAGGGAATCCAGATGCCTGAGAGGACCAGAGAATCGATTACAGAGCAGGGGCTTCACAAGGGAGGTGTCAAAAGTGTTAGATATACGCATGGAAGGAGGCAAGGCCAGGGAGTAGGACACAGGATTGACCTTACGCAATACCTTATAGGGGCCAAGGAACCTGGGCGCGAATTTCATTGAGGGGATCCTGAGGCGGAGATTCTTAGAGGACAACCAAACCCTATCACCCGGGACATAAGAAGGAGCAGCACCCCTACGACGATCAGCAAATCTCTTCTGAGTAGCAGTCGCACGAGAAAGAGTAGCATGGACCTGATCCGACATCTTCCGTAAGGAGGTGAGGTGCTCGTCCAAAGCGGGTATTCTCTTGTCGGAGAACACGCCGGGAAGGACAGAGGGTTGGAACCCATAAGCAACCATAAAAGGACTTAAGCCAGTGGACGAATGAGTCACGGTGTACCTGGCGAATTCAGCCCAGGGAAGGAGGTGAGACCAGTTGTCCTGGTGTGCATTCGTGAAGCAGCGTAAATATAACTCTACAGATTGATTTGCTCGTTCGGCGGCTCCATTAGATTGTGGATGATAGGAGGACATAAATGACAAGGAGATCCCCACCTCAGCACAAAAGCCCCTCCAAAACCGAGAGACAAATTGAGGACCCCTGTCGGATACGATATCCTGTGGTATACCATGCAAGCGGAACACCTCTTTGGCAAATACTTGAGCCAACTGAACCGCAGAAGGTAGTTTCTTAAGTGGAATAAAGTGTGCCATTTTAGAGAACCTATCGGTCACAGTCAAAATTACTGTCTGTCCACCAGATGAAGGAAGATCTACAATGAAGTCCATGGATAAGTGGGTCCATGGTTTCTTGGGCACGGATAGAGGCATTAGGAGTCCCAGGGGTTTAACATTAGGGGACTTACACTGTGCACAAACATGACAAGCCTGCACATAATCCACTAAATCTTGCTTAAGTGAAGGCCACCAAAACTGCTGAAGGAGACCCTTATATGTTTTGGTAACCCCTGGGTGACCAGCCGTTTTGGCGGTGTGAAATAAAGCTAACAATTTCTTTCTATCGTTTTCTTTCACGTATAATCTACCAACAGGTGTCTCAGAGGGTGCTTGGGTTTGGTATGTCTTGATACCATCAAGGAAAAGAGACGAAATAACCAAACGGGTAGCAGCTATTATCTTAGATGTAGGTACAATGGGTTCAGGAGCAGGGACAATTGACTCCAAAGGTTCGTATTGTCTGGAGATAGCATCAGCCTTGACATTACAGTACCCAGGCCTATATGTGATAATGAACTGAAAGAGTGAAAGAAATAAGGACCATCTGGCTTGACGAGAGGACAACCTTTTAGCATCTGCTATATAGGAGAGATTCTTATGATCAGTTATAACCAGGATTTTGTGTCTAGCTCCTTCTAATAAGTACCTCCACTCTTTAAAAGCCATCACAATAGCTAATAGTTCCCTGTTCCCGACGTCGTAATTCTTTTCCGAATCAGACAGCTTTTTAGAAAAGTAACAACAGGGATGGAGGGGTTCGTTATACGATAGTCTTTGTGATAATACAGCTCCTACACCTAATTCTGAAGCGTCTACTTCCATAACAAAGGGAAGGATCAGGATGGTGTAGCACAGGGGCAGTGGCAAATGGCTTTTTGAGAGTCTCGAAGGCTTTAACGGCTTCAGGAGTCCAAACCCTGGGGTGCAACCCCTTTTTAGTCAGTTTCGTGATAGGAGAAATAACTGATGAAAAGTTGTTAATAAACCTGCCATAATAATTGGCAAAGCCTATAAATCGTTGTATTGCCTTAAGGCCTTGAGGAAGAGGCCAAGACAATATGGCTTCTAATTTTGAAGGATCCATGCTGAACCCCGGTTCAGAAATGATGTACCCTAGGAATTGTACTGATTTTTGGTCAAATAAACATTTCTCCAATTTACAATAAAGACTGTTCTGCAGCAATCTCTTAAGTACCTTCCTCACATGGGCATGATGTGACTCCAAATCAGGAGAATATACAAGTATATCATCGAGATAAACCACGGCACAGACATGCAGTAAATCTCTAAGGACATCATTTATGAGGTCCTGAAAGACAGCAGGAGCATTACACAGTCCAAAAGGCATGACTAGATACTCGTAATGCCCACTGCTTGTATTGAACGATGTCTTCCATTCATCATTCTCTTTTATACGAACCAAGTTATAAGCCCCCCTGAGGTCTAGTTTAGTATAATATCTAGAACCTTTAACACGGTCAAACAACTCAGTAATGAGAGGGATAGGATAAGCGTTTTTAACTGTTATATTATTCAGGCCCCTATAGTCTATACATGGCCTTAAATCGCCCTCTTTCTTGGCAACAAAAAAGAAACCAGCACCAGCCGGAGAGGAGGACCTTCTGATAAAACCTTTACGTAAGGATTCGTATGTACTCCTCCATGACCTAGTTTTCTTTCTCAGAAAGCGGGTAGACCTTACCCCTAGGAGGCATCGTTCCAGGTAACAGGTTTATGGCACAATCATAATCCCGGTGTGGGGGTGGTTTATCAGCTTCCCTTTTTTCAAAGACCAATGCGAGGTCTGCATACACAGGAGGGACAGAAACAGAAAGTGGTTTAGCTGTAGGCACATTAAAGCGGCACTGTCATGCCAAACTTACCTTTCCTCAATCTCTTCCTCTTCTCGCCCTCTCTCAGGATCTGTTATTCTTTTCTTCCTGTCTTCTTTAGTTTTCTTTAAAATCATAAGACAAAGTAGGGACTCTTTGCCTTATGGAGAATTCCTCCGCTTGACCAGCTCTGACCAGCGGAGGAGCAAAGTGTGCTTCATTTCCGCTGGTCAGAGCAATTTTCCCATAATTCTTACCTTTCCTCTGTGTTCCCGTGATGCTTCCTGTCACTTTACACGAAACTGCCGAATTGCGTTCTAAATGAATGAGAACAGTATGTTCGTTTCTTTTAGAACGCAATTCGGCACTTTATTAGGATCGCAATTTCATTCGAATGAATGAAACTCCGATCCTATTCATGCTGTGGCTGCACCTTGCAGCCGCTTAGTAGATAACTCCCTAATTCCCACGGTATCAGGGAGTTATCTGCTAAAAGGCTGAAAGACCTAAATTGGTCTTTCAGCCACATTTACTAATACCAAGTAAACATTACTTAGTATTAGTAAATAATATGCCCCTACTCGCTATACCGCGAGATGGGGTATGTCTGGTAAACAGTGAGCAGCCTGTGGCTGCTCACTGTAAAAAAAAAAAAAAAGAACTATTGGCCCCCACCCCTAAACGACGGGTGGGGGCCCTAAAGTAAAATAAGGGGGGAGACATAATGTCCGTCCCCCCCTGCGCGGTGGGTGGGGGTCATAATGATAATGGGGGGGCCTTCTGCCCCCCCCGGCCCCCACCCCTGGGCGGCGGGTGGGGGCCATAAAGATAATGAGGGGGGGGGACCTACTGTCCACCCCCCCTCTGGCCCCCACCCCTGGGCGGCGGGTGGGGGCCATGAAGATAGCAAGGGGGGGGACCTACTGGCCACCCCCCTCCGGCCTCCACCCCTGTGCGGCGGGTGGGGGTCATAAAGATAATGAGGGGGGGACAGTACCCTCCCCACCGCTGGTCAGCGGGTGTCCACCCCCATCCAGCCCCCACCCCTGGGCAGCGGGTGGGGGGCCATAATGTTAACGCGGGGGGGAACTTACTTCCCCCCCCTCCAGCCCCGACCCCTGGGCGGCGGGTGGGGGCCATAAAGATAATGAGGGGGGGGCCCTACTGTCCTCCCTCCCCCCCGGCCCCCACCCCTGGGCGGCGGGTGGGGGCCCTAATTCAATTTCAAATTCAAAAGAATTTTCCCACGCTGTGTAAAATGACACAGAGCACTGTGATTGGATGGCTTGAAATTAGGACATTAGGTTTCTCCCCCTTTATTTTACTTTAGAGCCCCCACCCGTCTTTTAGGGGTGGGGGCCAATAGTTTTTTGGGGGTTTTTTTTTTTACAGTGAGCAGCCACGGGCTGCTCACTGTTTAGTGGACATGCCCCTACTCGCGGTATAGCGAGTAGGGGCATTGAGGAGATTTTAATCTCCCTTGTGCTATTATGGGGGTCATATTGACCCCCATAGAGTGAGGGGGTACTGGGGGGCTTAGGAAGTGGTGGGGAGCACTGCTCCCTGCCACTTCTATAGTTACATATTACAAGGAGGGAGCTGCGTGCCCGTAGCTCCCTCCTTGTAATAAACTGCACAAACAAACGAACACTGATACATAGTGTTAGTTTGTTCGGCTGATTTTTCTATTCATTCATTCGTCTGTCTGATGAATGAATGAATAGATGAAATTCCCGTTCGCATGTCCAGGTATTTCACTGGGCATGTGCGGGAATCTCACAGTCTATATAGTGTGGGCAGGTGACGTTTCCCACAGGGACTTCATCTACCCACACAAAGATGGCGGCGCCCTGAATATAGATCGGGGCAGAAAATAAGGAATAAAAAATAGGTAACGTGGGGGGCTTAGGGGCATTTGGGGGTGACTAGGGTGTTAGTTAGATGTAGTGGAGGCCGGAGGGGGGTTTAAAAAAAAACAGGATTCGGCATGACAGTGCCGCTTTAAGTAAGCAAACGGGACGTAAATGGGCCATACAGTCTTGTTGACAAGATTCCCCCCAGGAGAATATATCTAGACAACCCCAATCAAGTACCAGGTTATGCTTAACTAACCAGGGAAAGCCCAGAACAATGGAGTGTAAGGCACCCATGGCCATAACCATTTCTTGGGTTTCATGGGTCACCAGAGGTTTATCAAGTGGTCTACCATCTATGGCCTCAACGGCCAAGGGTGTGGCCTTTTGGATCAGATTCAAGGATGCGGTTTTTGCAAAGTTCTCATCCATAAAGTTGTCTGCAGCACCTGAATCGATCAAGGCTTTAGTTGTTATAGTGGTTTGATTGACCAAAAGAGAACCGTAATAAATGGTCTGGAGATGGACACATGAGGGGATAAAACCATAACACCCGAGGCTGACCCCTCTCTAGGCCTTAGGTGCTGAAGTTTCCCTGCAAACTAGAACAGTTTCTTCGGAGATGCCCCCTCTTTCCACAATAAAGGCACAAGCCCTCCCTTGTGCGGTACGTTCTTTCAGCTTCAGCTAAGCCTACAGCACCTAATTGCATGGGTTCGGGAGGTGGTTGATTAGGGGGAGGTAATGCTAGTAATGAAGTACTGGGTAAAGCAGGTAACCCCTGTGTATTCATCCTTCTTTGACTACGCCTCTCTCTAATACGGTTGTCAATAAGAATGATATAATCTATTACATCATCCAGAAGAACAGGCAATTCCCTGGATGCTATTTCATCTAATATGTAAGCGGCCAAACCCTCCTGAAAAGCTGTTACGAGAGCGTCGTTATTCCAAACCACTTCAGCTGCCAGAGTGCGGAATTCAATGGTATAATCCGCTACAGATCTATTACCCTGTTGGACCCTAAGCAGAGCTTTGCCAGCAGAAGCAACCCTGCCGGGTTGATCAAATGTACGTTTAAAAGCTGTCAAAAAGTCTGCAAAGGACATTGGGGACGTATTCTCCCACATGGGATTAGCTCATGCTAGAGCTTTCCCGGACAAGTGGTTGATCAGAAAAGCAATTTTGGTTCTGTCACTGGGGTAGGAACGAGGATTCATCACCAAATGAATATCAATTTGGTTGAGGAAACCACGGCACAACGCTGGATCACCGCTATAGCGCTGAGGTGGCGTCATGTGAACCACGTGAGCAGGAGAGGGTACTGGATCGGGAATGGGTTCTGGCACAGCAGCAACAGCTTCTTGAAAGGCAGGTTGCAAGTGGGCAGTACGAGCCAGTATGGTTTGTAAAGCCTGGGCAAACTGATCCATACGGTGGTCTAAACCATCCATTCTAGCCTCCTGATTTACTAACAACTGTAGAATGGCAGCAGGTTCCATGGTGGCCCTGTTGTAATGTCACGATTCTGGAACCTAACACGCTAACAGAACACAGAGAGGAAAGATGCTATACCGGTCCTTAGAGTGGCCGGGCTAAGCACACTAAGAATGGTCAGGAGACAAGCCAAGTAAAGGGAGCCAGAAAACGGGAGAACGAGAAGGGAGCCAGAAAACGGGAAAACAAGCCGAGGAGTGGAGAAGACAGGATAATCGAAATAACGAGCCAAATAATCGGTAACCAGAGAGAAACACGAGCAAACTGCAATACAGGTATCACAAGACCACAACAGGGCACTGAGAGACAGGAAAGGTAAGTATAAATACCCTTTGCTTAATTCTGATTGGATAACTTCCAATCAGAATTAACAATCACACGTGGGAAATATCTACGCCTCCCACTGTGATTGTGGTACTGTTGCTTTAACGCCGGGTCACTCACGTGACCCCGGCGTTTGCATAAATTTGCAACCTCCCAGCGTGCAGCGATATACATGCTGCCGCAGGGAGGCGTGGAGGACGAAAGCGGCGAGCGGCGGAGAGGAGACGCCGCTCACCGACAGGTAGGAGGAGGGGAGACCGCGGGCGGCGACGGACTGAGGGTGAGTGCTGCAAGTGGCGTGCAGCCTCCCCTCACAGCCGCCCGCAGACCCCTGACAGCGGCGTTTAAATGTACAAGGTGCCATGATGTCTAGTTGAGAGGAGAGGGTGGAATTGTAGAAGGAGGTTGCAGAACTAGGACAGGTGAGGTTTGAGATAGGTAAAAGGAGAGTTTGGTGATTAGTGGAGAAATGCTCTAGGTCAAGACATTGGAGGTTTCTGTGAGAGTGATGTTCAGACGGTGGTGTCAATTGGGTCTTAGGTATGCCAATGTCAAAAGTCAGCAGATGGTGGTCAGATAGAGGAAAGGGAATATTGGAGAGATTAGAGGCAGTACAGAGGTTGGTGAAGGCAAGATCAAGAGTGTTTCCCGCTGTATGGGTTGCTAGATTGGACCATTGCGTAAGGCCAAAGGAGGAGGTTACAGAGAGCAGACGAGAGGCATCAGTGCAATTGGGGTTATTGATTGGGATATTGAAATCCCCAAGTATAAGGGAAGGAGTGCTAGATGAGAGGAAGTGGGGAAGCCAGGAAGAAAAGTGCTCAATGAATAGTCTAGGATAACCGGGGGTCTCTGCACACATGAAAAATAACTGAGAAATGGGGGTCTCTGCACACATGAAAAATAACAGATAAGGGGCGTGGCTAACTGCCGAAACGAGCGGTCGCATGGAGTGAGAGCTCCATGCTTTGGATGACTTCCAAGCTCACTAATCTCATCACACACAGCCCTCCAGTGATTGTCAAGCCTGGGAACTTAGCCCTTACGATGGCTCCAGCCAAACAAACAAAATTAACGGACCAAATCCGGCCCGCGAGAAAGGACCGTGTGCGGCCCACACAAGATGGCGACGACGAGCAGGCCTGCTCGCAACCTGCTGAGAGCTCACCAAATCCCAAAGGGGACTCCAGCCCATACATAGACGCCCCGGTAACGGAGAAACGGCTGTACCTTATGCTGCAGGACTTTCGAGTCACACTGCAATCTGACCTCGAGAGGGCGACCAGCGAGATCAAGAGGGAGATCTCTGACCTGGGCGAACGCACTAACCAGCTAGAAGCCCGCACAGAAGACATGTGCACTGAGCAGAATACGTTGGCGAACACAGTACAGCACTTAATGGATGAACAAACCCAGCTTAAACGTAAGCTAGCTGATTTAGAAGACCGGTCCCACAGAAATAATGTTAGGTTCCGCGGGATACCAGAACGCGTGGGCACAGAAGAACTCCCCGCATATATCAAAAGACTTTGCGCAACTCTACAACCCGATATAGCAGAAGGAGCATGGCTCCTGGATTGAGCCCATCGGCTCCCACGACCACCGAGGTTGGCACAGGATACACCTCGCGACGTAGTTGCTATTTCACCTCTAAGAACGCTCTACTAACAGCGTCCCGCAAACTTGACAAGCTACCCGAACCATACACTACCCTCAATATATATGCGGACCTGTCGGTCTCAACAATGGCCCAAAGAAGGGAATTCATTACAGTGACGAAGACGCTGCGAAACAACAACATTCCATATAGATGGGGATACCCGACGAAAGTACTCATATGGAAGAATGGCAAAAACCACATGGTAAATGAACCG